TTGATTACTTGTTTCTCACTGTTAATCTTACTTCAATTTCTGTAAAAATCGTTAGACCTGAGGACAACTGTTAGCTTCTATGTCCTTTGAATTCCTGGGCATAGACAGCAAGGTAGCAGAATCCTCTCTGAAATACTTCCATTTCTAGCATGAGACCCAAAAAATGAGTGAGATACTGCCATGCAGTTACAGCAGTGATTCTCAAGTTGCTTCCACAAAGACAATTAACAACATATTGTTATTTAATGTTAAACATTAACAGAAATGCCCATCAGTCCACAAAAGAAAAACTAGTTGAGCGGCTGATCCAGAACAGTTCAGAAACACATGCAAAATATGTACTTACTACCCATTTTTCTTTTGGGTTTTCTTCTCTATAATCCAAACAGTCTTGCTGTAGCTCCTTTAAATCAGTAAGTAATTCAGTTGCTTGCCTCAAGGAAGATTTCCTTTCCTCTATCTCAGCATATTCTCTTTGTAGTTGTAGCAGTTTTGGTTCAGCTCTGAAAAAGAACGAGGCTTTGATGACTATATCTGCATATTTATTTCATGAATAACTATGAACATACTTCCTCTGAAGAAGTCTTAAGGGAAAGGCTGGTCAGAAATACAAAACATGGCATAGTGTAACACACTGTTTAATTAGAATAACTAGCATATTATTTAAATGGGAACATGGATTCAAATCCCTAAAAAAACCACCTGCAAACTTTTTTCCACATCTCATTTTTGAGTCTGATAATACAGCCACTCTAAGCGCTTAAGCTTTTCAAGTGAAGTTTCTTAAGGACCCAGTGTTCTGCTTCTGCACATAGCTGCTTGCAGGCTGAGCTGTTCAGTGCTTATGCTGAAAGCATACTCAGGTTCCACAGGCCGGATACGCCTCTGCCTATGTAAACTGAAAGGCTCAATCCATTAAAATAACATTCCAAAAACTGGAACGCCAACAGCCATTTTCATCTAATAGTGTTGCAGCAAAAAAGCTTTCTTAAAACGATCAAATGATTAAAACACAACAAATAAAAAATACGATGACAGCATTCAGTCTGTGAGGGAGTTCAAACCCATAGCGAGGGATGCCTTTAATTATTTCTTTGCGTGAATTCTGTCCATAGTACTGCAAAGAAACAAGATGTCACGGCCACCGAGAAAGGGCTTCAGTCTGCCTTTGCGGATCCAAGCCTATGGCTCCCTACAAAGTCAGCGTGTATGTTACACGCAGCTTCAGTATAAAGTTTGTCACTAGTAACCAGCTGGATTTGGGGAAGTCTAATGGTTCTTCCAAAGAACATAACTTCTGTGTTGTGTATCTAATTGATACTTAAAATTAATGCCAAATAATAGAAGGGGAACTGTGTGGCCACATGAGGTGGAAGCAAACTGTCTATTCAGAGGCATCCCTGCCAAATTGCCCAGGTGAAATACATTCTCCCGCCTCAAAATCAAAAAAACCCTCAGTATTGCCTTTGTAAATCTTTGATTCATCACCTCTGCAATTCCAATTGTAACATTAGCATTTTTCTTATGAGCATGTGGTCTGAAATACCATCCCAGTTACCAGTTAGCTAAGGGAACTTGCAAGAATGACTATCTAGGCGACTGAAACATGGAAAGGAGAGGTTATCATGAGCTTTTGTAAGCACAGAAAGCAATACAGAACATGAGCAGAGTTTCATCAAAGTAAAATCAAAGAACATCATTGTTTTCATGATGTTCAGCAGTTTCATCAAAGAACAAAAAAAGTTACTTTCGTTTCTCAGTCACAAAATAGCAGACTCAAGTTCTTCAGGTTATTATTATGCATTATTAGAAACATACCCAATTAGCTCTTCTCTGAGTTGCAACAGTTGCTGCCTTTTCTTTTTGATGTCTGTTATTACCTGAAACAAATAGTGAAGAAAGTCTTTGAAACAGTTTCTGTAACTTCAAAGGCAAACGACTCAAATGCCATTGGCTTTTTTTCTTTGAGGTTTTATGCTTCTGACTCTGGGTGTGAAGATTCCAAGATACTAGACCTCATAAACTGCCATATTTAAAATTCATATTTTAGACATTCTAAAGAACTTTGAAGTGTTAAATTCTTATCTCCATGCAAAATTTCTCTTAAGGAACACTGGATTGACAAGCATGCAAAAGGAGTTTGTGACATTCTGAACTCAAACATGATCAACTCTAGCAGGTTTTTGTTTGAAAAATGCAGAGTAATATGAATGTATGTCCAGTATGCTTGCCATAACTAAGGAACCAAGCATAATTAAGCTTTCTTTAATACTACAACACCCAATTAAAAAACGCCTAACTAACTATAAATCTAAATTTAGCAGCTACAAATCTGATTTTAAACAAGCGCGTAAGAGGCAAAATAAGAATAACTGAGTGGCTGTGAATGCCAGATGTGATTTAAAATCTTCATTTTACATGCAGAGTAGCTTACCATATCATCTCAAATTAACAAGACTTTTAGCACATTAATTGCCACCTCTCAGATTAAGTTTTCTGTTGACTTGTAAAAAGCTATTTTGTTATCAAAAAGTTTGCAGAAGAGACTGATCTGGGCAGGAAGCCCCTGGCAGACAGTCCCTAACCTGCTCTTATCTCTACTGTAGGGCATTCACCTCTCTCCTGATGAAACCACTGCAATGTTTTTCTGTTCTTGAGACTAGTTCCTCCTCCTGACGACACTCCCCTGTTGCATTTCCAGTCAATTACTACTCGCTCGGAACTGCTTTCCTCTGAACAAAAATCTTGCATGTATTTAGGGAATGTAGCTCACTTAGACTTCTCTCCTTTAAACTAAATAATCCAATTCTGTCCTCACAGGTCACCATCTTTGCTGCTCTCTTCTAGATTTTATATTCATCTATGTTTCTTGAAGATTAACTCCCAATACTTAATTGACTTTCCAGAGGCTTCACCAGTGCTCATTAAATAAAAAAAAAAAAAAAATTCACATGTATAGATACCTACACATCCTAATGTGCATTCCTTTTTACAGTAGTATAGCAGTGTATGTATGGAGTTTGTAATCCATCATATCTCCTCAGATCTTTAAAAACAAAAACCACAACAACCAGCTCTGGTGGTCCCCTATCTTCTATTTGTGCAGTTGATGATATAGTATGTAGTTTACTTTGTGGATTACTTTATTTTTTTTAGTCAACTTTTTGAAATTTCAGTGCCCACCTCTATACGCTGTACAGACTAGTGATCACATGTCTTTCAGATATGTATTTACCTTGGCATTTTTTTTCTTCATATTCTTTAGTTCCTGGACTTGCTCTATCTACAGAGGAAAAAGAAGAGTTACATGTTGACTATGGATCTTAATTTCATCTCTATCCTCCTAGAAACACAGCTGCAAGAATTACTTTAGAATAACATTAAAACCTATTTAAAAACCCAACACTGCTTCAAAAGAAGATTCCAAGTGTATCAGTTGTATTTCAATTCTTTCCTCTCTCCTCATGCCAGAGGAAGACTGTTGCACAAAATTAGTCGTCTTGCACCAGTTGGTACAAGTAATACTCCTGAATAACTACCTAGCTTAATTTTTCTCCAACTTTATATAAAATGTATAAATCTATTAATTTTAAAACTTACTGATTCTAATGAATCACTTGGAACTATAGTTCTAGCACTTATCCGTTGTACTTATCACAACTCCTACAAAGTTCTGAGTTTATTTTCACTAGTCGTAATTAGTGAGAAGAAATCTTAGTCTTCCAAGCTAATAGGGTTTCTACTGTTAGGTTCAAACTGTGAATTAAAAAAGGATGATCTTCCCTGAACTGTGTTAAGAGGCCTTAGCCAGGCATGTACACAAGTGTCACTGAGACGCAGTATGAAGATAAAATCATCAACCTTTTAAAAACTCCAGTCCATAAGCTTTTAAAACAGTGTTTGACATAACTGCTTGCTCATCCAAATTATGCAGCTCTCCAGTTTTACTACATACTGCTTTAGATATGAAAAACACTTCAGGATTATTAGATGCTTCCCTATTCTCAAAAACTGACAATTTTGCTACATACTTGGATGACAGCAGTGTTGTATCTAAGGGCAATTCTCATGAAAGCCAGCACAGAGACAGCAAACCACAACCTGCACACAACAAACTCTAGTTTTGTATTGTTCATGCTATCAGGAGACTTGAGAATTTAAAGTATCATAACATAAATGTGTAAAGGACAATATAAAACCATAGGCATTTTGACTACAATGTAATATACAGTTCTCTAATCACTACCACAAAATTGATTTTATTTATGGTATACTTACAAGATCAGTGACTTGGTCCTTGAAAGCAGAACAGAAGCCATTGACAGCTTTTCTGCAACTGTTTGATTCCATGCTTTGTCTGGAGAAGTCAGAAGAACAAAACACAACCCGTTTCGTTTAGTAAAGGAGAAATCTCATCCAAAAATGTTGAGTAACGAATAAAGCCCAATGTTAAGCAGCTAGTAGCACAGGCAACTGCGGCTCTTTCACATACTAGCAATAGATTAATTTCTACACTGAAAACCATAAGATGAGATGTGTTTTTCTTATGTTTGGAAAAATATCAAATCCCTGGAGACCACCTCAAGACCACATATGAAAAAAGTATTTGTACCACAGAAACATAATCATCATTAAAATATCATCAGAATGTAACCATGCTATACTGCATTCCCTAAAGGACAGCCTGTTAGCAAAAATGCAGGTGATTTGTTTTTAAAAATGAGTATTCAGCCATAGGAAAGCAGAATGTTTACCTGTAATTTGCTGCTATCTTCTCAAATTCAGTCAGAACAACATCCAATTCTGTAATATCTCTAGGAGATCTCTTCAGCTCTTTGGGACACCAAACCTGTACAGAACATGGGCTATCCACTGAAACAGCAGAATAAAGATAAGCATTGTATAGTTCAGGCACATGTTCTAAAATAATAGAAAAGTTATTGTGCCCACCATTAAAATAACCATCTAAAAGTTAAGAATATTTTAATACAAATTCTTAAGATTATTCTCAATAATCTTGAGAAGAGATATATGTGAATTATTTCATCTGTCTTTGGCTAAGGAGCTGTGATAGATTTGTCTGGCAACACTTCAGAATTTGGATGATCAATCATATACAACTTATTTCTTATTCTGCATCATTTCAAACAAGTCCAGGAGCATGTTATTACACTGGCTGATAAACTGTACAGCATACTGTAGATATAGCTATTTGCACTGTAAAAACTATTAGCCTGAGTTTGGGCAACCTGCATTACTCAGAGTCATGAGTTATTGTATCATATCTGTATACGGTTTGTATTAATACCATATATGCTTCCAAAAAAAGCTATACACAAATATGTTTCTTTAAATTTTGCAATAGTATTAATAACTAATTTCACAAAAAGCTAAACCCTGTTTCTTTACACACTCCCAAACGTGAATCTAGTACTTGAATGTAATGGAGAACCTTTCAAAGGAAACAGGATGACACCTGAGAAACAGTTTCTCTCTACCAAAAAATGCCACTACCTCGAAGCTCCCTATCTCAAAGGTCTTCTGTACTACCAGCTGTGCCTACACTGTTAAGTCAGGGGCATTCCAGGCTCTGCTCCACAGCTGGTGCTCCAGGCTTCCAGAACCAAGGGATGCCTTACAACTCCATACCCATGGACACAGGCTTCACTCCAAGGGGAACCAGGCTGCGTGTGAGGGATAATGCACACCTATGCTTTACCCCTTCAGGGCAGTAACAGGCAAGTCCAGGGATGCAAACCATAGCGGGGTCAGAGCTGTGTGGCACACCAGCCCCTCAATTTAACCACTGCCAATAACTGCCTAGACCAAAACGGAAAGAATCACAGAATCACAGAATGCTAGGGATTGGAAGGTATCTCAAAGGATCATCTAGTCCAATCCCCCTGCTGGAGCAGGACCACCTAGATCAGATCACACAAGAACGCGTCCAGGCGGGTTTCAAACATCTCCAGAGAAGGAGACTCCACAACCTCTCTGGGCAGCCTGTTCCAGTGTTCTGTTACCCTTACTGGGAAGAAGTTCTTCCTCATGTTTAAGCGGAACCTCCTATGTTCCAGCTTATATCCATTTCCCTTGTTCCTCTTGTCTCACTATCATTGGATGCCAGTGAGAAGAGCCTGACTCCATCCTCATGACAGTCACCCTTTACGTATTTATAAACATTAATGAGGTCCCCCCTCAGTCTCCTCTTTTCCAAGCTAAAAAGACACAGCTCCCTCAGCCTTTTCTCATAAGGGAGATGCTCCACTCCCTTCATCATCTTTGTGGCCCTGCGCTGGACTCTCTCAAGCAGTTCCTTGTCCTTCTTGAACTGAGGGGCCCAGAACTGGACACAATATTCCAGATGTGGCCTCACCAGGGCAGAGAAGAGGGGGAGGAGAACCTCTCTCGACCTACTAACCACACCCCTTCTAATACAGCCCAGGATGCCATTGGCCTTCTTGGCCACAAGGTCACATTGCTGGCTTATGGTCATCCTGCTGTTCGCCAGGACCCCCAGGTCCCTTTTCCCTGTGCTGTTCCCCAACAGTTCAGTCCCCAACTTGTACTGGTACATGGGGTTGTTCTTACCCAAATGCAAGACTCTACACTTGCCCTGGTTGTATTTCATTAAATTTCTCCCTGCCCAACTCTCCAGCCTGTCCAGGTCTCTCTGAATGGCAGCACAGCCTTCAGGTGTGTCAGCCACTCCTCCCAGTTTAGTGTCATCAGCAAACTTGCTGACCATGCACTCTATTCCCTCATCCAACTCATTGATGAATATGTTGAAGTTCAATACTGGTCCCAGTACCGACCCTTGAGGACCTCCCATTTCTAGCAGCAGTATGCTGCTACATACCAGAAATGAAAGCTATTGAGTCATTGAAAAGCATTCACCTTGAATGAGGAAAAGCTATATGGGAGTTTTGAAAAGTCTGCTTTACCAGAAGGATCTGATATGTTCTCCTCTGAAGGCCTCTTCTTTTCTGCCTGGAATCGAGTAGTATTCAGAGCCTTCTGTGGTATAAAAAGCAGATTAAGTTCCAAAAAAACACCTAGATTTACTCATTTAAAATTCTGCAAGACGGCAAATAGGCAGAATGCAGGAAAGCATTTCCTGACTGAAGTGTCAGTAACGTTTACTTGGGGCTGTTTCACCGGAATCACCGCACAGCGAGGACTTTGCTGAGGGACAGCAGCTGCTTGACAGCACTGACTGACTGACATATCAGTCACTGGCCACGCAGCAGTAGAAAGATTTTAAGGAGCACACGGACCCTCAGTTCTGTGTAGTCATCGCCCAGTATTAACAGTTCTCTGATCGACAGCGCCTGCTCGCCTTCCTCTTCACCCACGTTCTGTCCCAGTGCTTTCTCTACTTTGACTACTTTGTGACAACAACAGTACTTCTACAAGAGTGCTGCATACCTGCAGTTTACAGATGAAAGACTAACACTTGGTACTGAATTTTACAGCAGGATTTTCAACAATTCCAATAAATTTCAATACGTAAAAAACTTTTATGCAAAGTACTGCATAGCTTCTTTTGTCCTAGGCCTACTTTCTCAAGTCTGCAGAGTTAACTCTTCCTCTGTACACCTGGAAGCTCAGTGGGCTAAAAGCATTTTACACTAACTGTGGTCTAAGTGTGGAAAAACACTCGTTCAAAACCAAGTTGTTTTTGTTTAACTCTAATATATATTCAAAATTAATTTTATCAATGAAAAATTCAATTCTCTCATAAATATGTTTTACTTCCATACTGAACAAGTACAAGGGATTTATATTCCATTTAGTACACCATTCTTTAAGTACATATATTCCAGACATGAAGAATATATTTGAAAGAAGGAAAGAACATATTCCCAATTGAGCAAGAGAATGGGCTACAGGAATCAGGAACACCTGGCTAATATAGTCCCTGTTGACACGATGACCATAGCTTTAATCATTTCACTTGGTCATCTCACAGGAATACTTCAAGGATTAATTATTTCAGATACAATTAAGTACTAAGGCAGTACCAAGAAACAAAAGAAAGGTCTTCCTCTCCCCCCTGCTAATGCAGGCATGGCATGAAGCAAGTTAAAATTAAACTGACTGATATGCAACTTTTTCTGTACCGTGTTCTCCTTACGGGGCTGATCTTCAGGATCAGCCGTGTTGAATTTCTGAACATCACCATCAGACGTTGTTGAGCGATGCATTTTTTGACTAGGAAAAGAAAAATATCCACATGTAAATACACTACACACTGAGAAAGAATGATCTTCAATCATATACACAACCAAGTCTTGTGTTTTGGGGAACATTTTGTACTGCTATGGCATTTAGTTTGCGTTTCCTAAATAAGCTACATAAAAAGTTGTAAATGGCATAGAAAGGGAGCAGAATCTTTATCCCTCAACAGCAACCCTCACGACAGTTTAGAAATCCATTACTAACTGACCACTGGAATAGCCATGTTGTATTCAGCAGAAACTTTGAAACTGAAAAAAAATTATTATTGAGGATATTGTAGAAGGAATGGAGAAGGCTTTCTTCGTGGGGGGTGGGGTTGGAAATAATAAAAAAAAAAACCAACAAAAAATACATACTCTCATACAATCCTTTCATATTAAAAAACCCCACAGTAAGTACTTAAATCAATGTACTGCTTACAAAAATTTTCCCATTTCTTTTCTACATCCCTCAACCTTACTTACTCTTTTGGTTTATCATCTGGAAAATTTTAAGTTAAAGCATCTATTTAATAAACAGCTAGGGAAACCTGACAAACTGAACATTTTTCCCATTTAATCTAAAAATCTAAAGATTAAATTAAATACTGGCAATTATTTTTTTCACCAGACCTTGTTTCTGTATTTTTCCTTTGTGGAGCTGAAACATGACCAAGTGACTCGTTTTGTGAATGTTCCTCTCCATAAGCATCCACAGCAGTACTGTGCAAAGGGTGATCTATAAAGAACAGGAAATAAGCCGTATGAAAATTGTTCCCATGTGTTCAGGCAAAGGGCATGGACATGCTAGCACTGCCTGCCATTCAGCATTTGGTTAGAATTTTTGTGGTTTTCTCACTAATACGAAGGAAGCCTTGTTAAAAGTATTATTTGAGGATTAGGCAAAATATATATAGTGTGTCCTGATTTCAGCTGAGAGAGCGTTAGCTCTTCTTTTCAGCAGCCAGAAGAGCTCCGTGTTTTGGTTTTAGTCTGAGACTTGCTCTGAGAAGAACGCTGACACAGCACTGATGTTTATAGTTGGCACTGAGACCTCAAGGACTTTCCAGCTGCCATGTCTGTGCTGGTGTGCAGGAGCACAACAGGATAGGGGGGAGCATGACTGGGACAAAGCGACCACAACTCCCTTATGATTTGAACTTAGATTTGGGATTGAGGGCCAAATTGGCCAATGAAGTATTCCATATCATGCAGCGACATTCCCAGTATAAAAGTGAGGATCAGCCGGAAAGAAGGGCCTTTGCTCTTCCGGGACTCTCACTCTCGGACTCGCAGAGTGCTCTCTGTGTCTCGCTCTCTATTTTCGGCCTCTCACTCATCTGGGATTGCGGTGTCGGGACTTACCTGTTTGGAGATCGTTAGTTTGGGATGGGACGGGCCTCAGTCAAGGAGTGGTGAGCAATTACACCGTACATCACTTGTCCGTATAGATTTATCATTGTACATACACATGTATATATATACTGGTAGCAGTAGTAGTCAATTGTTCTTATCTCAACCCACAGGTCTCTTTTCTTTTTCTTCTTTAATTCTCTTCCTCATTCCCAGGGGGTGGGAGAGGGTGAGTGAGCGGCTGTGAGGAGTTTAATTGCTGGAGCAGCCGAAACCACGACACAGTGAAAAGCTTCATAGTTTCTATACTCATCCACCTGCTGTTTCTTCACAAACTGAAACCAAACGTGCATGAAAGCTCAGCACGTACGTATGGCACATAGCAGGCAAAATATTTTGTGCAGTTTATTTAAAGTTTCTCTTTGCTGTGGCATACATCAATCTTCTGTACCTTTAAACAACTACTTTCTAAATTTTACCTTTTTTATTAATATGGATTTTTAGCTGCTTTATTGGATGCTATAAGAAGAGTTACAGCTGCTACAGAAAGTTTGTAAGTAGAATTCTTGAAGATATCTACTAGAATAAATTAAAACTCTGAGAACCTTAAGGTTTTAGTCTGCCTTCCGCAGTATATATTTCTTGTTTCAAGGACATTGCCACAAAAATTTAGTGTTAGCTTACATTAGTGTTAGGGGGTATCCTTTTCAGTTTTTAACACATACCACAGAAGCAAGGAAGAGCTTTTCATTTTGCAGACTTTCCCTTATGAAAATTCTTTTGCTGTATTGTTCTTTATTTCAGCGTTTTTTATTTTCAATGCTATTTCTAGTACTTACATGTATATTTCCATGATTTTCTTAGAGTAGTAAATATTACAGTTGAGAAACAGCTCTTAGCATTTTCTCTACAACTTCTAATCACAGTTTTTTCAAAGATGTTTCTTACCAACATTGACATAGAAGAGCTGCATATATTTAATAACAGAGAACTTCACACAGAGGCACCTATTCCATCTAAATTGATTCTCTGCCAGTATAGTGAGGCCTCATTGCACAAGTCCCATATGGAGCATGAAAGTGGTTTTAATATTTCACCAAAAACATTAAGTTTTTATGATGTTACTGTTTATGTAAAAAAACATCCCTGTGAATGTATAAGTTTGTCGCCATGCATACTCTTGCAATAGCAAAAATTTCACTTCATAATTTGTGCAATTTAATAGAGTAACTTAAGGTATTGAACTTTCCTTTTAAAATGTAAATAAGCTCTTACAAATTGCAATGTTATATTATGTGAAATTTTACTATTCAGACTATAAAACTTGAATAGTCAGTATTTTTCCATCAACTTTTACTTGCATGTATTACAGCATTATTCCGGTTACTTCTTAAACGACAGAATATAACACCGCGCTCAAAAAAATCTCTGCCTCTCCTGCTCATAACTTTCTCTGGCAAAGAAAGAATACCTTTTCCTAGGTAAGCACTAAATATTTTGCCCATATGGTTTGTTCATGAAAATCATACCTTAAATGACATTGAAGTTAATACTAACCAAATGAATCGTCAAGCTCCTCGAGTTGATTTGTTCCCGCTAACTTCAATATCCTTGAGACATCTGGTTCCTCAAGTGGAAGCAATTTCCAGTGAGGACGGGAGTTGGCTTTCTGTTCCTGGATGGGTATGAAGTCAATAGCTAGTTCATCCAGCTTTCTGAGCGTAAACCAGATTAAATATGACAATGAATTTCAAGAATGTTTGACTAGAAATACATTTAACCTGGACCATACGGACTGCTGAGCTAGGACATAAAGTATATGAAGCATGTGGTTTTTCCTTATTCGATGTTTTTTTCGTCTAAGAGAATCGATGGTAAAAACCGGACATATTCTGCTATTTGATACCATACTGTAGCATCAGCTTTGTCTTATTTTATAAAACCAAGGGCATAAGTTCAGAAAACTTCTAACAGTCTAATATCCAGTTTCTGCGACCTGTGGCATTTTTCTTTTCAGGCATTAAAATACTACTTCTTTCACCTCTGTATTACATGAATTTCTATCCTTAACCAATTTAATGATTCTCACTTTAAAAAAAAAATCATAGAATCATAGAATGGTTAGGGTTGGAAGGGACCTCAAAGATCATCTAGTTCCAACCCCCCTGCCATGGGCAGGGAAATCCTCCACTACACCAGGTTGCCCAAAGTCTCCCCCAACCTGGTCTTGAACCCCTTCAAGGATGGGGCATCCACAACTTCTCTGGGAAACCTGTTCCAGTACCTCACCATAGATTCATAGATTCATAGATTTCTAGGTTGGAAAAGACCTTAGAGATCATCGAGTCCAACCATCCCTAATCCCCATTAAACCATATCCCCAAGTAGATCATCCACCCTATTCTTAAACACATCCAGGGATGGGGACTCAACCACCTCCCTGGGCAGCCTATTCCAGTGGCTGACAACCCTTTCAGAGAAGAAATACTTCCTAACATCCAACCTGAATCTCCCCTGACTAAGCTTATACCCATTTCCTCTTGTTCTATCACCCAACACTAATGTAAAGAGCCCTTCCCCTACCTTCCCACCATCTTTTCTCAAGTATTTGTAGGCTGTAATCAGGTCTCCCCTCAGCCTCCTCTTCTCCAGGCTAAACAGAACCAAATCCCTCAGCCGCTCCTCATAAGTTTTATTTTCCAGCCCCTTGACCAGTTTAGTCACCCTTCTTTGGACTCACTCCAGCAGCTCAATATCTCTCTTAAAGCGAGGGGCCCAAAACTGGACGCAATATTCCAGATGTGGCCTCACCAGTGCCGAGTACAGGGGCAGGATCACTTCCCTCTTCCTGCTGGTCACACTATTCTTGATACACGCCAGTATCCCATTGGCCTTTTTGGCCACCTGGGCACACTGCTGGCTCATATCAAGCCGGTAGTCAACCAAGACCCCCAGGTCCTTCTCCGCCAGGCAGCTCTCCAGCCACTCTTCCCCGAGCCTATAGTAATGCTTGGGGTTTTTATACCCCAAGTGAAGGACTCTGCACTTGGCCTTATTAAAGCTCATGCCATTAAATGTAAAGAATTTCTTTCTTATATCTAACCTAAATCTGCCCTCTTTCAGTTTAAATCCATTGCCCCTTGTCCTATCACTACACGCCCTTGTAAAAAGTCCCTCTCCAGCTTTCCTGTAGGCCCCCTTTAGGTACTGGAAAGCTGCAATAAGATCATCCCAGAGCCTTCTCTTCTCCAGGCTGAACAGCCCCAACTCTCTCAGCCTGTCTTCATAGCAGAGGTGCTCCAGCCCTCGAATCATCTTCGTGGCCCTCCTCTGGACTCGTTCCAGTAGCTCCATGTCCTTCTTGTGTTGGGGACTCCAGAGCTGAACACAGTATTCCAGGTGGGGTCTCACGAGGGCAGAGTAGAGGGGCAGAATCACTTCCCTCGACCTGCTGGCCACGCTCCTTTTGATACAGCCCAGGATATGGGCTATGCATAACTTCTTATAAAAGGTGGGATTTATAAGTCAAGTATTACACAGACACTTCTGTAAAGCAGAAGAGTAGGGGAGAACGGCACTAGTTTATGAAGTATTTGTCAACATGTCATTCACATCCTAACTGCGGGAGTAAATTTCCTCACTCGTTTGTGTGTGTGCATGGAAAGGGAATTACAAGAAGAAAACATCAACTTCCTGAGCTTTTAATTTTACTAGCACTTCTCTGCACCCCCCAATTTTTGCTATGGTACTGAATACAGACACATCAACTATTTCCTCTTTAAGCTGTTCGCTTTAATTTTACAAGACCGTTTTCAAACTTTTGCCTGTTTGAAAGTTAACGGCCCATTATGCCTGACGATGTACCACTCCTAAAATAAATTTAAAAAAATAAATCAAAAAAGAAAAACCCCACGCACCCCAAACCTGCACCAGCAGCGACTGCGCAGCTCAGTTCCCAGGGAAGCCCGGCTTGAACACCTGCACATCCGCCTCCGGAGCCAACACCAACAAAACTCTCGCTGGTTTAGTTCTGCTCCAACCAGCAAAACTTACCGTTAACGTATTTCCGGAATGATTTCTCTTCTTTTTCTTCTTCGAGGACATTTCGCTATTCGGTATATGCTGCTGAATATACAACCGAGGAGAAAGTCACGGGGGAGCTGTCCCTGGCACAAGTCTGCCTTCTCCGCCTCGACACCTGGGAAAGAACGGGAGATCCCCGTTAGTTCACCCCACCACGCACAACGCGCTTCACGGCTCGCTTTATCGGACCAGCCCGACGCCCGGCGCGGCACGTGCGGGTCGGTAACAAGACACGCGTGTTAAAAAGACAAAGTGAGACAACGCGTGACACCATTTACACCGTCACTTTCGCGTCGCAGCTGCTGTTTCTCTCACGCAAGAGACCCCGAGCTCACGCTCCCCTCCCCGCGGGCCGGGGGCACAAGGGCGGCCCGGCCCCGACAGGCCCGGCTCGGCCCGGC